GCCCAAGACCTAGCAGCTTGCAGAGCTGGGAGTTGGACCCAGGCATGTCTGTCTCTAGGCTGGGCACTTGCAATAGTTTCACTCTGGCAGTTATGCCAGCACCGCGTGTGGCCGCCGCCGCGTCTCCCCCTCCAGCCCTTTTGTATGCTCAGCAATGTCATAGACCTTCCACTGAGCACATGAACATATAGGAGGAAGAGATACAGGGCGGGGGGAGCCCCAAGAAGTCAGACACAGCTACAGGCCAGTGTGACTGACTTCACACACCAAGCGTGATAGTTGTTGACAGAGCTTCTTGAGCCAGTCTTACTGAAATGACCACACCCCACCAAGGCCCCATCCTCCCTTGTCATTTCGAATCCTTCACCTCATCTCCGTCTCTTGCACCCCCACCTATTCCTTAGCATCCTCCAAGTCAGGGTCTAGCGAGCACAACTGGCGGGGATGAGGAAAGTCTTTGGGTTTAAGACCTCAAATCCTAGTTCCCCTGGCTCTAGCTGAACTGATCTTTTACCTCCCTCTACAGAATCTACATTCTGTTTCTCACCACAGAAGCCAGATCTTCTCCAGTTAAAACACTATGGACAGCTATTCTCCCCGTATAATAACTTAGACCTCAGTGTTCAGAGAATCTCCTGTAACTCCCCTTATAACTCAACCTAAATGAAAAGGAGACAAAACAGAATTGGAATCCGAGAGTGAGAATGGGCAGAGGAGGAGGGCGATGATGGCGGAATCAGAGGAAAGGGGTAGAGGCAGCATCACTTTCTTACAGTGGTTTCACACAACTGAGATACTGGCGGACTGTCTCTGGCTGTCCAGTAGAGACAAATGCATGCTTTTCCAGGGTTGATGCCTATGGAAGGGGCTGTGTGACTTTTATGACCCTTTTTTCTCTAGGAGAAATTGCCAACATACCAGAGATGAGTAGGAATACCTGTTGACCTAGCTAGGGTCCTGCCATATTGTCAATAAGAGGTACTGTTTCCCACTGCTTCTACCCTTCCCTAACCCGCACAGAGACTGTAGACTTGAGGTCCCTAGACTTTCACCATGCTGAAGACTCTGCTGCTGACCGAGTAAGCCACTGATGACCGGGGGAGGGAGCACTGGGGTGATAGATAACACTGTACTGGGACAGGGGCCTGTCAGTTCTCCCATCAGTCTCACTTCAGCTAGAGAATATATGCCATCAGGAAGTTACAGCATTATATGTGACCATTGAGCTCCGTACTGCTGTGCAGTAATCCCATCTGTATATTAGGCAAAATGCTAGGCTGAAAACCCAGACATATTGGAAATGTTTATAAAATTAATTTACATCCCTCAACAGGTTCTAAGAGTCTAGACCTATTTCAGTAAACAACTCTTGCTTTTGCAGTATACTTCATAGTTACAGTGAATGTCTCATACATGTTTTTGTCAAAATTTTCTGTGCCCTTGGGCAGAAAATTGCTTGTAAGATTGCTAAAATAGAACTGGCCTTCTGAAACAACCATATGATGGTAACTAATCTCAAAAGAGGATGTGTAAAATTACAGCACATAGCAGGTGACATCCATCATGCTTGGGTTGCGGAACACCAGGGAGAGGAGGACTCTCTTGGTATTGGCTGTGTGCTTTTAGCTTCACATTCCTCCTCAGTAAAACAATGTATTAGTCCCTATTTTATAAGGTTTTTATGTAGATGAAGTCATGTATATATAAATCCATACACACACATATATATGTATATACGTGTATATATGCACACACACATATGCAAATGCACGACGTGCTTGGTTTCCATGATTGCATCATGATAGGTATCTGAGTAAGGGGCTGCTCTGATGAATGTGGAATACTCATGGGATATTCTGAGGATTATGGTATTACTCATTAGCTAACGGAGTGAGTAGAAGTGTATATCTGTGCTTGTCAAGGAGCATGGAGGAAAGGCTTGCAGACGCTGGAAGCAAGTTCCCGTGGATGGAAACAAACTGTGGGGATTGTTACTTATTGCTGATGTTGTCCTTTGACATTTCAAAGCAGACCTTGAAAGAGGAATGATAAGATTTTAACAAGTGGGCAGCTCCTGTGATTGGCAGTCATTTTGATATTCAAGAGCTGCGTCAAATATTACAGCTGAGGAGGATTGGCTTTTGTGTCATGTCATGTGGACATCCATTGGTCACACATTCCTAAAAGCTACTGTGTTTTGTTGACAACAGTGATTTTTCTTGAGAAATGCATATTTGCCAATGATTCAAAGAATTGTGTAAGTGGTATGGTGGAACTGTTAGGAGAAATGAGGGAAATCACTTAATGGAGAAAATATGGAGGGCGTGTGATTTCTAATGCAGTAAGTTATGTCCTCTGTAGGAATGGAAGTTGTTTTTTTTTTATTTTGCCTTTTACAAGCAACTTTTATAAACAGAAATCTTGTTAGATTTATTCCGCCAGCTCAGCTGAGTCATTGAACTTTACAATTCTTAGTGAAGTGTGAGCAATATTTTACATTTTCTGTTTTTCACATTTTCTAACTAAATGTGCAGTACTGACATAAGCATGAAAAGATCATTATAGCTAGGATTATGGAAACAGACATATATATGCACTTAGCATGTGAGAAGTGACCAAGTTTGCAAAAATGATATTTTCTACAAAGATGAGTTAGGGTGGGAGAACTAATGTAAAAGAAAACCAGGAAGAAACAGTACCTTCTGGAGGCTGCAGTTAAAGAAATCTTTCCAAATATAAAACCAAAGGAAAGCTGAAAAGACTTCCTTATTTTAAAATATTTCAACTTCAACACTATGAATGTGCACAATATAAAAGGAAATGACAAACCATAGAAAATTATAAAAATTATGTTAGTGTTAGTATCTGTGTGAACTTCTTTTTTGGGGATGGCTGAGACAGGGTTTCTCTGTGTAGTTTTGGTGCCTGTCTTGGATCTTGCTCTTTAGACCAGGCAGGCCTGGAACTCACAAAGATTCACCTGGCTAGCCTCTCGAGTGTTGGGATTAAAGGCATGCGCCACCACCATCCGGCTCTGTGTGAACTTTTTAAGGTCTTGAAAAAGTAAGAAAAACAAGACAAACAATCCTCAACCAAGTGCAGGCAAGAAAGCACCAAAGTAAGGCTTTGATTTTCCATAAACACAGCTAACCTTACAAATCGGAGAAATATGAACTCTATAGCATGAAGTTTTAGTTTAACATAATTGACAAAGCTATTAAAAGTGATACTCATTTCCAGGAATGGACACTGCTGTATGCTATGGAGGTTGGAATTGGCACACCCTTCATGGAATATTTATCATAAGGCTTAAACATGCATAGCTTTATCCTTTAATCAGAAAATAATCTGAGAAGTGTGCAAAGAATATATACAATATGGGCATATTACTTACAGCAAGCCTATGAGATTAATAGCTTAAAATGATAAATTTTCACTGGACACTATAATAAGTAAAATCTAGTGTTAGGTTCTCAAATTGGTCATAAGATAATGGACTGCCATGCTAACATTAAAAAATCATGCTTTTGAAGATATGCAATATGGGAAAATATATACAATAACATATATGGGAACAGTAAAGACCCTTGGATAGATAGGTGGATGGATGGATGAAGGATACGTATATAATAGCAATACTCAAGGCTGACAGAAAGTACTCCACAAAATGGTAGGTTTAGGGATATTTAGGGATCTTCAAGAGGTGCAAATGTAGGTGGGTTTAGGCTTGTTCCTGCATTTCATTAAGTTAAAATAATGTGCTAAAATAAGCAACATTAAAATAACTGTATTATCAACATAGAATACACTACTGCTATAAAAAAACTACACTTTCGCCCACTTAAATATTAGTAATGATGATAAACTTCTTATTGTTATGGCACAAATGGAGGCTTCATTCTTCTGCTGTTACAGGTGCTGTTTTAGTTCTTAATGCTGCTGCTGCTGTATGTGAAAGGGAAAGATAACTTGCCTAGCATTCCAGCAAGGGTGGAGGGTGGGAGGATGGAGAAAAGAGAATTGACAATTCTTGTGTGTGTGTGTG